TTAAATGTCCCACAGACTCAAGCTGGTAATGAGATAAGACAGCCTGTGAAAGCCAAGAATGATGTTAATGAGGAATGTATTTCTGACAGTGTTGATGACGAAGGTTTGATATCTCCCTAATTAGACACAGATAGAAAAAAAAAATCTGATTGAGGATTCAACCATGCCTACTCTATCTAAAATGTAAAAAAATTACTATATATTTACAGTGGGGATCGAAAGTTTGGGCACCCCAGGTAAAAATTTGTATTAATGTGCATAAAGAAGCCAAGGAAAGATGGAAAAATCTTCAAAAGGCATCAAATTACAGATTAGACATTCTTATAATATGTCAACAAAAGTTAGATTTTATTTCCATCATTTACACTTTCAAAATAACAGAAAACAAAAAAAATGGCCTCTGCAAAAGTTTGGGCCCCCTGCAGAGTTAATATCTTATACTGCCCCCTTTGGCAAGTATCACAGCTTGTAAAAACGCTTTTTGTAGCCAGCCAAGAGTCTTTCAATTCTTGTTTGAGGTATCTTTGCCCATTCCTCCTTACAAAAGTCTTCCAGTTCTTTGAGATTTCTGGGCTGTCTGTCACGCACTGCTCTTTTAAGGTCTATCCATAGATTTTCAATTATGTTGAGGTCAGGAGATTGTGAAGGCCATGGCAAAACCTTCAGTTTACGCCTCTTGATGTAATCCCCCGTGGATTTCGAGGTGCGTTTAGGATCATTATCCATTTGTAGAAGCCATCCTCTCTTTAACTTCAGCTTTTTCACAGATGGTATCAAGTTCCCATCCAAAATTTGCTGAAATTTTATTGAATCCATTTTTCCTTCTACTCGTGAGATGTTCCCTGTGCCACTGGCTGCAACACAACCCCAAAGCATGATTGATCCAAACCCATGCTTAACAGTTGGACAGAGGTTCTTTTCATTAAATTCTGTGCCCCTTCTTCTCCAAACGTACCTTTGCTCATTCCAGCCAAAAAGTTCAATTTTAACCTCATCGGTCCACAGAACTTGTTTCCAAAATGCATCAGGCTTGTCTATATGTTCATTTGCAAAGTTCAAACGATGCATTTGTGGTGAGGATGTAGAAAAGGTTTTCTTCTGATGACTCTTCCATGAAGACCATATTTGTACAAGTATCTCTTTATAGTGGAATAGTGTACCACAACTCCAGTGTCTGCCAGATCTTTCTGGAGGGATCGTGCAGTCAAACGTGGGTTTGAATTGTTTTTCTCACAATCCTGCGAGCTGTTCTGTCTGATATTTTTCTTGGTCTTCCAGATCTTGCTTTAACTTCCACTGTTCCTGATGACTGCCATTTCTTAATTACATTCCGAACAGAGGATATTGACATCTGAAAATGCTTTGCTATCTTCTTATAGCCGTCTCCAGCTTTGTGAGCGTCAACTATTTTCAGTTTCAGTTTTCTAGACAACTGCTTAGAAGAACCCATGGTGCTGATTGTTGGGGCAAGGTCAGATGAGTCTGGGCATTTAAAACCTTTGACTCTGGCAGGTCTCAGCTTTGTAAAGGGTGCAGTGCATGCTATAAATTCTGCATGGTGCCCAAACTTTTGCAGACGCCATTTTTTTGTTTTCTGTTATTTTGAAAGTGTAAATGATGGAAATAAAATCTAACTTTTGTTGACATATTATAAGAACGTCCAATCTGTAATTTGATGCCTTTTGGAGATTTTTCCATCTTTCCTTGGCTTCTTTATGCACATTAATACAACTTTTTACCTGGGGTGCCCAAACTTTCGATCCCCACTGTATACAGTTGTGTCCAAAATTATTCAACCCCCACTGAAATTGAGTGTTTTGGCCAGTTTGACATTGCTTTTGATCATTCAGCAGTCATCTTGCTTACATTTACATTAAAGAGGCACTTGTAGGTCAGACAAATAAACATAACAGTTATAATGAAATAACCACAAATGTCTTTTCTGTGCTCACAGCATTATCAGTTTTATTCAACCCCCAAGTGACATTCAATCTTAGTACTTAGTACAGCATCCTTTTACAGTTATAACAGCTTTTAAACGTGAAGCATAGCTTGACACAAGTGTCTTGCAGCGATCTACGGGTATCTTCGCCCATTCTTCATGGGCAAAGGCCTCCAGTTTCAGTCACATTCTTAGGCTTGCGCACTGCAACTGCTTTCTTTAAGTCCCACCAGAGGTTCTCAATCGGATTTAGTCTGGTGACTGCGATGGCCACTCCAAAATGTTCCAGCCTTTCCTCTGCAACCATGCTCTAGTGGACTTGGAGGTATGCTTGGGATCATTGTCCTGTTGAAAGGTCCAACGTCTCCCAAGCCTCAGGTGTGTGACGGACTGCATCACGTTTCCATCCAATATCTCCTGGTACTGAAGAGAATTCATGGTACCTTGCACACGCTGAAGCTTCCCTGTACCTGCAGAAGCAAAACAGCCCCAAAGCATGATTGACCCTCCACCATGCTTCACAGTAGGCAAGGTGTTTCTTTTCATCATAGGCCTTGTTCTTCCTCCTCCAAACATAGCGTTGATCCATGGGCCCAAACAGTTCTAATTTTGTTTCATCAGTCCACAGAACACTATCCCACAACTTTTGTGGTTTGTCCACATGGCTTTTGGCATACTGCAGTCGACTCTTCTTATTCTTTGGAGACAGCAAGGGGGTACGCCTGGGAGTTCTGGCACGGAGGCCTTCATTACGCAGTGTGCGTCTTATTGTCTGGGCTGAAACTTCTGTACCCACATCTGACAAATCTTTTCTCAGTTCCTCAGCAGTCACACGGGGACTTCTCTCCACTCTACGCTTCAGGTAGCGCACAGCAGTCGAAGTCAGCATCTTCTTTCTGCCACGACCAGGTAGCGTTTCAACAGTGCCCTTTGCCTTGAATTTGCGAATGATGCTTCCTAAGGTGTCTCTTGGTATGTTTAACATCTTTGCAATCTTCTTATAGCCATTGCCCTTCCTGTGAAGAGAAATCACCTCTTCTCTTGTCTTCCTGGACCATTCTCTTGCCTTCACCATGTTTGTAACCACACCAGTAAATGTCTAGAAGGAGCTGAGTATCACAGTCATTTTAAAGCTGCCTAATTGGTGCTTATTATGCTTGATTGCTGCTCGGTGACATCCACAGGTGTTTTCAATACCTGATGGAAAGCACCTGTATGAACCTCTGTTCTTCAGAGTGCGTAGTCTTTAAGGGGTTGAATAATTGTGGCAATGAAGAAACCACATAAGAACCATTTACTACTGTATTACATAAACAATTGATGTCATTTTAGTTGCATTTGGGTAGTTACAACGTCCTTGTAGGATTTGATTCTGAATACAATTCCAAATGTACACTATAGTCCCTAAACCCCTTTACAGCATTGGGGGTTGAATAATTTTGGACACAACTGTATATATATATATATATATATATATATATAATATATACACTGTATGTATTGCGAAATGGTGAGGCCATGCCACTATATGATAAGATAGTCTGGGCCAGGTTTTGGAAAAAACAGGCCCACTAATGGCACAGGTGTGATTTTTAAGGAAGAAAGAAGCTGAGAGACAGGGACTCAGGGGTCAGAGGTGCTCCGAGTCTGAAAGAAGCCGAGAGGAAGGGTCTCACCCAGGTGTCAGAGGTGCCCCAAACCAGAGGCCCGAGTCTGAGAGAAAGTCTATGAGAGATGGAACAGCTGGGAGCTGTAAAGGAAATACACAAAGCTGAAAGAAGTACAGCGTTTGTGTACTAGCACTGGGGACAGGTTTCTGGATGATCTGGTAGACCAAGACATGAGGCCTGAGCCACAGTGCTGATAAAGAAAGACAGGAGGCTTTAATGTTGTTTTGTCATATTGATGGTGAGCACCTTCTGGATGAGAAGATATTTTTGTGAACTTTTTGCTTTTCTTTAAATAAAAGTGGGCAGGGAAAGCCCTGAAATGTACTTCTGGTGTTGGAGTATGCTCACTGTATAAACACACTTGCTGTGAGAGCTAATAACTCCATGTCACGATATATACATTTAGGAAATACCAACTAGCCTTTATTGTATTTTTAAAGGAAAAAGCTGCTAACCCCCATCAACAAGTAAGTTCATTATGCATTGCAAACGTTAGTGATAATCTGCAAAGTGCATTAAAGGATAAGTTCACCTTTTGTAACTTGTCACATCCATATTGAGGGTGTAACATGTTACAATTGCACCAGCCCCCATGCCCCTCCCCCATCCCAAATCCCTGTTTTGACAGTGAGTGGGGAATCTTTTCTCCCCCCAAATCGCTACTCTAATCTAAAGAAACCTACCCAGCAACATCATCCATTCACAATCCTAACAGCTTTTTGTTTTTTTTCTCAATGAACTACCACGGCACTGTTGAGTGCTATGGTAGTTCATTCTCTCTTCCTGTCAGTGTGTAACTGCAGACAGATACCCTGACAAGTCTGCAGGAACCCTGCATGGCACCGATCTGCCAATTGCGGGTGCAATGCTTTACAGGCTCCAAGTAAAAAAAATAATAAATGCACATTTGTTTACCTGCAAAAATATGTCCATTTATTTTTTTTAAGGCTAAGTTATCTGTTAACTCATAGATCATCATTATGTAGTAAATAAATAATCACATTTAATTTACTAGAGTCAGATAAAGTAAACTGTTCTTTTCTTTAACCACTTGCCTACCGGGCACTTATACCCCCTTATTTACCAGGCCAATTTTCAGCTTTCAGCGCTGTCGCATTTTGATTGACAATTGCGCGGTCATGCAAGATTGTACTCATATGAAATTTGTATCATTGTTTTCTCACAAGTAGAGCTTTCTTTTGGTGGTATTTAATTGCCACTGGGCACTTTACTTTTTGCGCTATAAACAAAAAAATTGCAAAAAATTTGAAAAAAAAAAAAGTTTCTTTGTTTCTATTATAAAATTTTTCAAACAGGTATTTTTCTCCTTCACTGATGTGCGTTGATGAGGCAGCACTGATGGGCACTGAAGGGCACTGATAGGCAGCACTCAGGCGGCACGGATAGGCAACACTGATGATGGGTACTGATAGTACTGATAGGGGGCACTGACTGGCATCACTGCTAGGCACTGCTGGGCTGCACTGATGAGCACAGGTGGGTGGCACTGCTGGGCACAGGTGGGTGGCACTGATGGGCACAGGTGGGTGACACTGGGTGGCACAGGTGGGTGCACTGCTGGGCACAGGTGGGCGGAACTTGTGGGTGGCCCTGCTGGGCACCAATCATCAGGGCACTGATCATCAGTGCCCTGATGATCGGTGCCGATCCCTGCTCTAACTGCCGGTTCTCAGCAGTACTTTCCTCACGATCTGACAGCATGAGGAAAGTGCTGTGCATCCGAGAACCGGCAATTGCATTTCCCGGTGATCAGCTTGTCATTGGGAGCGCGTTCCGGAAGGACGTCATATGATGCCCACCCAGAACTGGCCGGCCGCAGTGTAGCCGCCATTCGGCTATCTGCGATCAGCAAGTAGTTAATAAGCATTTTTTCACTTTGTACATTATTTTTATTATTTGCACTGCTTTAATCACTTTAGCTCCGCCCATAGCAGAAGTACTGCTATAGGGCAGCAGCTGTGCACAAAATCACGTATATACATTTTGGATGAGCGGCCGCGGCTGTCAATCACTGGGTCCCAGCCAGTGATTACTCGCCGGCGCCCGGTGATTGCTGAGGATCTTTGACAGGGAGGGAGAACTGTTAATAAACAAAACAGTTCTCCTCCCTGTCAGTTCCTGCACACTGCTTTGCATGGCTCTACAGTAAAGCACAAACACAGCCACACATTGTAAAATGGCACACAGCTAAATTAACCCTTTAATTGCTCCAGATGTTAACCCCTTCATGCCCAGTGCCATTAGTAAAGTGTCAGTGCTTTTTATTAGCACTGATCACTGTATTGGTGTCACTAGGGATGTCAGTGAAATCAAGTCAGTTCCCCCAGTGCCAGAATGCCCACCACAGTTCTGCTATAAGTCGCTGATCGCCGCCATTACTAGTGAAAAAAAAGCCCAGTGTATATATACCCGCCATTTGTAAACGCTATAATTGTCACGTAAACCAATTCATTTACACATATTGGGATTTTTTTTTTTTAGCAAAGACATGTAGCAGAATACATTTTGGCCTAAATTTCTGATGTTTTTTCACTGGACATGTTTAATAGCAAAAATTAAAAAATATTGATTTTTTTGTCAAAAATTGTCAGTCTTTTTTTTATAGTGCAAAAAAGCGCACAGGTGATCAAATACCAGTGAAAGAAAGCTCTATAGAGTGTGAAAAAATTTTCATTTGGGTGAAGTGTTGCATGACTGTGCAATTGTGAGTTAAAGTAGCACAGCACTGTAACGCAAAAAAAGGCCTGGTCAGGAAGGGGGGTAAATCCTCTGGAGGGCAAGGGGTTAAATAATGTACATTTAAAGACAATTTTTATGAAGTTTTGGACAGAGCAAGGACATATGTACCTCTTAAGTTTTTTTTTTAATTTCTACTTGTGTTGACACTTATTTGTTCAACTGATCTGTCCACTTTTCACTGGGACAGAAACTTATGAGAAATCCAAAATGTTGCAGTTGTCAACAGAATAAGTGGTGAGAGGAAAATCTTTCAAAAGGGGCACATGTTTCTCTGACAAAAAACAGCCTCTAATTCAACATGAAACAAACAATAAAATACATGGGGAAGGAGTGGTTCTGGGTGGTGTGATCAGGTTGACCTGGCTGAAGATGCTGAAGCCAAACATTGGGTGCCCAGAGAGCAGAAAATTCACATGGAGACCACAGTTTACAGTAATATATATTAGCATTAAAGTTCCAACTAGGTGGTAACAGAGTCTATGTACACAGCCAAACTGACACAGCAGCACTTGCATATAGTTTGCAGAGAATATCTAGAAACAACTTACAGCATCTGACAGATGGTGTGGCTGGAAAGGTTCCCAACTACTGCACAGGTGAACAGTCCCTACTCTGTCCCTCCTCAACTGGAACCTTTCCCTGCACTAGCGCATTGTCCATAACCAGAGGGTTCCTGTCCCTGACCCTGTCACTTCACAAATTCTGCAACAACCGAAAGGGGGACAGTGCTATTTATTAGCGCTGTCTACCCTAAAGATGGCCACTTTCCTCTTTGTAGGGTGGCTGCTGAACAGTACAACCTGTGCAGGGTAACCAACTGCACCTGCCTTCAGGCAGGTCCATGTATACTGTGGGGTTCATTTATGGCTCACTCAGAATCTCATGCACCTATGCATGGTAGCCAATCAGCTTCTAACCTCAGCTTGTTCAATTAAGCTTTAGCAATAAAATATGTAAGCTGATTGGATTCTATACAGAAGTGCACGAGATTCAGAATTAATCGTCTTCAGTAAATAAACCTCTGTGTTTCTTCACACTTTAGCAAAGATCCAGCATGACCTGCTCATGCCATCCACCTCCACTACAGGTCATGGGGAGTTGTCAGCTTTCTGTCTCCCACCCAGGCTTCTGACAGACCACAAATCTGCAACTACTATTGTGAGTGCTTTTTTTAATCCCTTTTGCGTATGAATTCTCAATTTGTTGCATGGAGGTAGATGTGCCCTTCTTCCTATATTTCACTGTGTGTGGTGACTGACTCTTTTCAATCTACGCAAAAGTAGAAAACTAATTGAACTGCAGGTATACCTTATTTAAAACATTATGAAAAAATATTTCGATCATCAAAATTAATTATACGCTTTTTTAATTTTACATTTTTCTTTATTTAAAACCAGTTCACTACTAACAATATGGGATACATAGCATTTTTGTTTTAAATTATTTTTGCATTCTACATTGTACTGGAACACTGTAAAATGTATAATTTTCAGCTACTGTTACTATAGCAGAATTTCATACACTTGGGTTTTTTTTTTTTTTGCTTTTTTTGTCTTTGACCAGTAATGGCAAAAGTCGTGACCATTAGCGATACAATGTCTGGTGCTTTTCTAACATTGTAAATAGAAAATTCACAAGTTCATTCAAACCTCAGTTATTATAGTTAATATGTGAACTAAACAGGTGAGCCATAATGCCTTATCCAGCTGTCACATTTTTCCTTGTGGAATATAAGATAAAATTTAGTTGAAGGATCTATAGCTTATCATGCTTCACCGTCTGCTCTCTACTGTCTTTAACTTTTCATACAGTTGACACCAACACAACATTAAGACAGCTTTCTCCAAAGTCTGCCTGAACTTTCCAGTACATTTTGCCTATGTTGCTATTTACTAAGTTATGAAAATAAAATGCAACCCTATATTTAAACAATGTTGATAAAATATATAAACATACTTTAGGCTATTTTGAAGAACAAAATGTCTACAGCCTGTATTCACTGCTAGCACAAAAAAGTCATTGAATTCTCTGATCAATGTTTAATTTATATACAGATAGACAAACTTTGTTGTCCACACTTAAATATACACTATATTGCCAAAAGTATTGAGATGCCTGCTTTTACATGCACATGAACTTTCGTGGTATCCCAGCCTTAATCCATAGGGTTCAAGATTGAGTTGGCACACCCTTTGCAGCTATAACAGCTTCAACTCTTCTGAGAAGGCTGTCCACGAGGTTTAGGAGTGTGTCTATGGGAATGTTTGACCATTCTTCCAGAAGCGCATTTGTGAGGTCAGGCACTGATGTCAAATGTGAAGGCCTGGCTCACAGTCTCCACTCTAATTTCAAAGGCATTCTATTGGGTTGAGGTTAGGACTCTGTGCAGGCCAGTCAAAGTTTCTCTACCCCAAACTTGCTCATCTATGTATTTATGGACCTTGCTTTGTTCACTGGTACACAGTCATGTTGGAACAAGAAGGGGCCATCCCCAAACTGTTCCCACAAAGTTGGGAGCATGCAATTGTCCAAAATGACTTGGTATGCTGACGCCTTAAGATTTCTCTTCACTGGAACTAAGGGGCCAAGCCCAACACCTGAAAAACATCCCCCACACTATAACCCCCCCCCCCCCCACCAAACTTTACACTTGGCACAATGCAGTCAGGCAAGTACCGTTCTCCTGGCAACCGCCAAACCCAGACAAGCCAGAGAAGCGTGATTCGTCACTCCAGAGAACTTTACTGCTCTATAGTCTACATCACCAAGTAGAATACAAAGCGTCAGATGCAGTGGTGGTGTGCTTTACACCACTGCATCTGATACTTTGCTTTCAACTTGGTGATGTAAGACTTGGATGCAGCTGCTTGGCCTTGGAAGCCCATAACATGAATCTCTATACATACTGTTGTTGTGCTAATCTGCAGGCCACACCAAGTTTAGAGGTCTTTTAGCTATTGACTCTGCAGACAGTTGGCAAATTCTGCGCACTGTGTGCTTCAGCATACACTGACCCTGCTCTGCATTTTACGTGGCCTGTCACTTCATAGCCGAGTTGCTGTTGTTTACAGTTGCTTCCACTTTGTTATAATACCACTAACAGTTGACCATGAAATATTTAGTAGCAAGGAAATTTCATGGATGGACTTATTGCACGGGTGGTAACGTATCATGGTACCATGCTTGAATTCTCTGAGCTCCTGAGAACGACCCATCCTTTCACAATTGTTTATAGAAGCAGTCTGCATGCCTAGATGCTTGATTTTATACACCTGTGGCTATGGAGGTGATTGGAACACCTGAAATCAATGATTTGGAGGGGTGTCCCATTACTTTTGACACTATAGTATACAAAAAAAAGCTATAATTAGCATGTGCATTGGTATTAATAGCAGTTTATTGATTATGCTTAGCTGCCATGAGGACTAAAGCTCCGTAAAATGTCTTCACAACTGACAAAAATTGACCAACAAAATAATTAATTTCGCTATCACTTTTTTGCATCCAAATACCAGTCAGAAACCTATCTCCTATCCAGCAAGGCACGAAGTGTCTTTCCATTTCATGCCATGTCCTCAGTGCTACCTTTTATTTTTCTGTGCTCAGAATTCCACTTATCTTTTTATGCTCAGAATTACTCTGATGCTTCTTCTGGGTCCAGTTGCTGTTCTTCTACCCCTGCTGGGTCCTCTCAAACTGAAAACATCCCTTAAAAATACAAAGGCCTGATCTGTGTCCCCTTTATAAGCTTAGGGATCTTGTTTACCTGCAGGGATTTAGTTCTGTGAATAGGCATCCATACCAGTTCAACCTTCTATTTAAGGACAACGTATAACACTTACAAATTGCCTATAATAGAGTTTGTTAGTTTGTGGATGTGCACTACCTTGTTAATATCCCCCTTACCTTCCCCTCTCCCCTTGTTGGCTGTGTATTTGTTCCTAGTAGACCAATTAAATTGATATTTGTAATTGTATTTAACAGTATTGCTCTGAGGCTTGAGCCAAGCATCCCA